GATTAATGCACTGCTCCACACACACACACACACACACACACACCAGCAAGGTGCAAATTGGAGGGTCTGCACAAAAGAGAAAACCGTAAGGATCAGATTTCACTCTTCACCTGGAAAGTACTCTGATATACAAAGCCACCTCCAGATGCCCTCATTGGCTCTTGGGAAGCATCGGTTCACATCGCATCACTTCCCTCCCCAGCTCGGACGAAGACAAAGGTTGGAGTGTGGAGCCTCTGCAATGCAGCAGCAAACATGTGACTGTGTTTCTGGAACAGGGACTTCAGGTCATTAAAACTAGATTTTGATGAGTTGATTTGGATTACAGTCAGAGCTTTAATTACATGTAGTGAGTTTCATCACACTCCACACTCGAGTGACGGCACTCAGCCTGTGGGGTTACCCTTGAAAAGTGCACAGTTCTTCATCACTAGATAGGGTTTTGATAACAAACTCGACACAGATTAATGGGACAAAAGAACAGAGGGACAGGTGAACAGAGGGACAAAGAGACAGATTGACAGAGGGACAAATGGACAGAAGCACAGTAGATCAACTGGACAGGACAAATGGACAGAAGGACACAAGGACAGAGAGGAGGAAAGAAGGTGAGCATTTCCACCTCTCCGTCTGCTCCAAGGACAGATGAACGGACACCCCTTAGCCCAGGCAGAGAGGAATAGTGGAATTCATGGGTACCACCCTTCTACCCCCCTCCCCTCCCTTCCCCCCACCCCTTTATCATTTTCTCCAATTCCTTTATTATCATATTTTTAAGTCGCATCATTTCACATGCATTCATACATTTCCAATATCTTTATGTATGAGTCTGTCTCCCACCCTCCTCCTCACCTCCTGTTGACATTTTCTTCACCTCTCTCTCTCTCTCTCTCTCTCTCTCTCTCTCTCTCTCTCTCTCTCTCTCGCTCTCTCTCCCTTTCTTTACTGCTCCCTTCTTCCCTGTCTCCTCTCTCTTTCCCTCCCTCCATCCCATTACTGTAACCCATCACTCTTCCATCAGCCAACATGCAAACAGGCCTCCTGGTTACCATGGCAACCACCTCCGGCCTGGCAGTGTGCAGCCCTTTTCCAATTGGCTGGCAGGACCCAGGCAGTCTCAGTCTGTCTGGGAGATGTGGTAATTGGATGGGAAGAGACACACACACACACACACACACACACACACACACACACACACGCACACGCACACGCACACACACACACACAGAAATAAAGTATAGTCTCACAAAAACACTTTTTTAAACATCCTTGTTCATTCTGTAAGCCTAAATAAACGTACATTAATGTATTCTGCTGGGTATTAAAACCTACACGCACACACACACACACACACACACACACACGCACGCACACGCGCGCGCACACACAAACACACACAATCATCTTCAGTGATATAAAGGGAGACTGGGGTCAAAGCAATGAAACTCATAAAAAGATGGGGGCTCTAGGCAGTGTGTGTGTGTGTGTGTGTGTGTGTGTGTGTGTGTGTGTGTGTGTGTGTGTGTGTAAACAGGTTTTGTATGATAGTGCATGTGCATTCAGACTGAATTTCTGTGTGACACCGAGGCATATTTGTGTGCAAAAGTTTACTGGAGTTGTGTGTGTGTGTGTGTGTGTGTGTTTGGGGGGGGGGGGGCTAAGGTTGGAGCTCTGCCAAAGAATGGATGGAGGAATTGTTTTGTCTTTCTTTCTTTCTTTCTTTCTTTCTTTCTTTCTTTCTTTCTTTCTTTCTTTCTTTCTTTCTTTCATGGTTTATTGTTAAAATACCTACATCCACCCCATGGATCCAAGTGTGAGCTGGATTCTTCTGTCTCCAGGAAAGAGGCAGAGAAGGAACGAAATGAAGAATAAACTGTTGATGAGCTTGACTTCACCATGCGGCTGTTGCACAGCCAGCTCTGCCCAACGCACCAGCAGTGATGAATGTCTCATCCCCAGGAATACATCACAAATAAACGCGCTACCTGCCTTGAATAGCAAACCAGATTCTGTTCTGCAGTGCTGCTAGACAACAATTGTGGACACTGAGGCTCCTTCGTCCCCCATTCTGAGATTATTGGACTATCTTGGCAAAACACTGACGTTCCTCTCAGCCACACATCTTTTCTGATTTTGTAGGCAATTAAATCCCTTTCAAGAACTTGGAAAGGTTAGAATGATCCCGGAGAGCGCTGCAAAAAGAAAAGTGGGAGAAGAAGAACATTTTAGTCAAGTGTTTAATTTAAATTTGAGATCTGAGAAATGTGTTATTCTCTGTTGGCCTCAGCTTTTAACCCGAGAGTGGAACAGCATGAGGAGAACCACCAGAGCAAAAACACACCAACCAGACACAATCCCTTCTACAGCAGATATAAGAGGACGTGACATCACAAAAACAAATGTAGAAATGTTCAGTCTCCGTTTTTATTGGAAATAATGAGTCAAGGGAAGAGAGTAAAACCTGGCAAATTTTGATGCCAAATGAAATCACAGAGAATGACTGACAACAAAGATGACAGCGATGTGAACCCAGTCCCTCCTTCCCTCTTATTGGGGGGTTAAAAATGTCCAAAATCAGTCGCGCATCTTCTCGAGGTATAAAAGACAAATGAGCACGCCTCTTCATCAAGTCATTCACAACATACAGTCACAATGAAAAAGTATAGATAGATATAAAAACTCCTTATGATGGAGCCAGGAGACCCCAGATGGTACAATCACCGTGAGTTTGACTCCACCAAAGCCCCATTGTAAAGGCTTTGTAGTCACAGAGGACTCATCGTCCAAAGTACAAAATCACTTCCTGTTTCCAGTGCCAGAACTGTGGTGAAACATGTCCACTCAGGCACACTTCAGGTTCAGGTGTCAGCTCTGGTTGGCTCATGGTTCGTGACATGTTTAATTAGAGATGGTGATGTGAGACGGGATCATCTGAGTGTGACCTCTCCACAGCCAGGTTAGCTGAAGCCACCCCTCTACAGTTCTGTGCCTCGTTTCAAACTCCATGTAAAAAATAAAACACCTTGTTTTGGTTCACGCTGCTTCTTCACTGACCCCCATGCAGTTAGAAATGGTCTCGCCCAAAAATATACATCCAAACAGAGCCAGGAGCATCCTCCGGGAGCAAAGGCAGCCACACTGTGCAAAGAGCAACAAAACCAGAAAAACAAAAGACAGCGAAAGAAAGAAATGTCCTGCGTTTTGTTTTTAAGAAAGGCATCACTGATAGTTAAAATACGACACATCTAATTTCTGCATCAGTGACGTTTCAAAGTTCACTTTAGATTAACTCACCAGAAAACTTGCTTCAGTCTCTGTTTCATGATGCTGGAATAACATTTTTAGGTTTAAATATTTAAGTTTCATATTTTCTGATGTTTAGTTTGATTAGTCGTTTTTTATTCTACTAAATCTCAATTCACCTTATTTACAAACAGGGATTTTCAGCCATACAGTGGGTATGGAACTCATTCAGAGGACCGTCAATTTTTCACTCTTTGTTACATTGCAGCCATTTGCTAACATCTATAAAAAATGTTTTTTTCTCATTAATATAGAGGTCCTTCTAAAAACATAGCATATTGTGATATAGTTCATTATTGTCTGTAATGGTCTGATAAACATTAGACTTTCATATATATTAGATTCATTACACACAACTGAAGTAGTTCAAGCCTTTTGTTGTTTCTAATGTTGATGATTTTGGCATACAGCCAATATATACATACATACATATATATATATATATATATATATATATATATATATATATATATATATATATATATACGTATATATATATATATATATATATATATATACGTATATATATATATATATATATACGTATATATATATATATATATATACGTATATATATATATATATATACGTATATATATATATATACGTATATATATATATATACGTATATATATATATATATATATATATATATATATATATATATATATATACGTATATATATATACATATATATATATATATATATATATATATATATATATATATATATATATATATATATATATATATATATATATATATATATATATATATATACGTATATATATATATATATATATATATATATATACGTATATATATATATATATATATATATATATATATATATATATATATATATATATACGTATATATATATATACGTATATATATATATATATATATATATATATATATATATATATATATATATACGTATATATATATATATATATATATATATACGTATATATATATACGTATATATATATACGTATATATATATATATACGTATATATATATATATACGTATATATATATATATATATATATATATATATATATATATATATACGTATATATATATATATATATATATATATATATACGTATATATATATACGTATATATATATATATACGTATATATATATATATATATATATACGTATATATATATATATATATATATACGTATATATATATATATATATATACGTATATATATATATATATATATACGTATATATATATATATATATATATACGTATATATATATACGTATATATATATATATATATACGTATATATATATATATATATATATATACGTATATATATATATATATATATATATATACGTATATATATATATATATATATATATATATATATATATATATATATATATATATATATATATATATATATATATATATATATATATATATATATATATATATATATATACGTATATATATATATACGTATATATATATATATACGTATATATATATATATATATATATATATATATATATATATACGTATATATATATATATATATATATATATATATACGTATATATATATATATATATATATATATATACGTATATATATATATATATATATATATACGTATATATATATATATATATATATATATATATATATATATATATACGTATAATTGCTGTGTGATTCCTGTGTCCTGTGGCCCATGACCTGTGTCAGCCCGGTTCTGGATGTGGCCTTGCTGAGTTATCTGTATCAAGGTGTTCGACTGTCTGGGAGGTGGTCTGAGTTGGTTCTGTGCTCTGTGGTGGCTGCTGGTTTCCTGGTGCCTGGGGCGGTTCCAGAGTGCACTGATCCTTGGAGGTCTAACACTTCACATCCCAGTACAAGCACGAACACAAGCTTGTTGATGTTTGTTGTTCATGGTTTACATGTTTATAGTTGTTCATCCCACGTTTTCTTGATGATTCTTAGAAATGTTTCTTTACATGTGCTGCAGGTGGTTGCTGTTTTTTATGTTGGTTTCATAGTTGTTTTTATTTTTCTCTCTTATTTACTTGTTTGTCCTCTATCAACCCTCTTTATTCCAGATTCGTTCAGCATTTACATGCTAATGTGGCAATGCATAACCCAAACCAATATTACAATAACATAAACTCGTACACAAAAGGCTCCTCTTGATAGAGCAAATCTGTTCAGCACATTCTGACAGACAGACCACCATTCTTCTGTCATGTTGCTGTACAGGACATTTTTATTGCTGTACAGGACATTTTTAGAGTTTTTCTTTTTAAAGATAAATAGTATTACATTTAAAGAGCAATACTTTCACATTATCATTTTCCCACACCTTCTGTATACCTGTATTTTGTTGTTTTTCAATAAAGAATGACTAATTATTTAAGTTCATGGGTTTTTTTAGCACACAAATATCTACAAAACTAATATTTACTTGGATACATAACAAGTATGATTGGGTTTTACAATATGGCAGCCTCTAAGGTTTACTTTAGTAAGGTTTTTAAACCAAGTAAAGTTAGTAAAGAACACATTTCTATTGGCTGCTAAGAAACTGTTGGACTTAAAATGGGCCTGTTGTAGAAATAACTTGGCATGAATGATTCTTCCCTCCTTTTTTGTCTAAACCAAAGAAATTCCAGTAATTGAGAAAAAACATTTATTTTTTTACATTAGATTTTATAAAACAACAGGACACAAAGTGTCAGTACATTTAAAAAATACTTAAAATAATTAAAGGGGCCCAGACAGCTGCAGAGTGAGTGGAACATTAGGTTGTGAAGTAAGAACAGAGTTGTCAACAGTGTTATGGCTATAGATAAATTACATCAACAACACATGAGCTATAACAGTCAGGGATATGTTTATCCTGTTTGCCTGAAAATAAACCAGTTCTAAAGGCAAAATTCAAAAGCAGCAAGACTCCCTCCTGTTATGATCCTTCCCCAGCCTCCCTGACTGTGTCTCTCCTGCCCTGATTAGCCTAATTGTTCTCACCTGTCCCTGATTACTCTGCCCATGTGTTCCTGATTCCCTTGTGTATTTATACCTCCCTCCTGGTTGTTGTCTTGGTCAGTTCATTGTCGCTTGTCCATGTTCGTTCGTCCTGTTGCTCCCGTCCTACAATAAACAGCTTTTTATTTTTTACATCCGTCTGCCTGCTCATCTGCCTCCGGAACCCACCACCACACATGGTCTGCCACCTCCACCCGCAGAACATGACAGAATGAACCGACCAAGACAACAACCAGGAGGGAGGTATAAATACACAAGGGAATCAGGAACACATGGGCAGAGTAATCAGGGACAGGTGAGAACAATTAGGCTAATCAGGGCAGGAGAGACACATTCAGGGAGGCTGGGGGCGGATCATGACACCACCAGGAAGTTTTTCACTGCTTTTGGAGCTGGCCATTAAGACAATCGGCAATATTAGTTAAAAAATATATAATTTCCCCTATTTGTGAAATGAACTTTGTCTGACAAAAATGTCCCTGGACTGTCATGTCTGATGTGAGAATGCACAACAACAGCACAATTTAAGCAAGAAAGAAAAGTAGCCATAACACTGTTGACGAACCTCCGGGCCTTCTCAATTTTAGCAGGTTTTACACCTGCCCTCCAGCTACACCTTTGGGTGATGGATGACATGATGATCATCATATGAGGGTGTAGAAGGTGAAGCCGGTGCAGGTCCTCCATCGTGTTGACCAGCTTCACACTGCTGACCACCCCCATGTCATTGCTGCCACAGTGGATGAGAAGGACATCAGGAGCTGCTCTTCCTCGCAGGGAGTGGAAAAAGAAGGGGAGAAGGTCTTTCCACCTCAGTCCGCCCCAACCGAACCAGGAGACACGGACGTCAGGGAGGCCAAGGTTGTCTCTGAGGGTCTCTGCAGCTCTCTGGGCACCACGCCTCATGTAGCTGTCTCCAATTATCCAAATGGCTATGGAGAAAAAAATAACAGGTTTGGCCTAGCTGTTTAAAGCACAAAACCATACATGAAGTGGTCAAGACAGTACTTGGTACTTACACTTGCTGCGTTGTGTAGCTGATGTTGGAGACACAGGCTGCCATGGTGACCTTTTAACAGATCTCAGAAAAAAAATGTAATAAAAGAATGAAACTTAAACTCCCAGACCTCATTTCATGATTGCTAATCAGCTATGGCTGATTTATTGTTTGGAACACAGTGAGTTACACTGATTCTAATATATTTTTATTTCTATTACACATACATACTTTATAACTGTTATTTTCACATGACTGTTATCAGGCTGTCTTGTTCTGGTTCTCATGATAATTTTGTTTCTTCCAATAAGTTATCTTGTGCTTAATTCATCTGTATAATGTCTCTTTACTTTTGGTGAATTTTACTGAGTCCAGAATAAAGGCTAGTTGGCTGTACAAGATACAAACAAGAATCAAGTTTTAGAAATATATGAAATGTATTTAGCCTGATAATTTATCTCATATACTAATAACTACCATATTTTCCGGACTATAAGTCGCACTTTTTTCCATAGTCTGGCTGGTCCTGCGACTTATACTCCGGAGCGATTTATATACCAAATCATGTAGGCTACACCGTGCTGCTGCTGCGAGCCGGCTCCGTACCAGGAATGAGTTCCCCTGCCCCGCTGGGAATTAAAAACACTCAGCCATCACCTGCTGGAGACAGTTGCGCGTCGTTGCGCACTGGATCCGGCCCAGGTGTCAGCTCCTCTGCTCCGCCATCACCTGCTGCAGCCTGTGGTGCGCTGCTGCGGGCCGGCTCCGACCCAGGAATGAGCTCGTCTGTGCCGCTGGGAGGGTTTCAAACACCGCCATCCTCTGCTGGAGGCCGTGGCGCGCTGCTGCGCCCGCGTTGTTTATTCTGTTATTGTTACCGGTGCTTGTCTTGCAATGTGAAATGCTTGGTCTCAGATTTTGTAAGAAAAATAATAAAATTTCCCCCCAAAATGCGACTTATATGTTTTTTTCTTCATTATACACTTTATGGCTGGTGCGACTTATAGTCCGGAAAATACGATACGTTAAAAATATTGAAAAATTGCTCAAAGCAAAATATATTTTCATTAAGGAAATAACTTTTAAACTTACCGATTCAATACTTTTTTTATTCACAGAAAGATAGTTTTCATGAAAAAGCGCCGCAAACCTCCAAACAAACTCCGTGTGAGCTTCAGGTCGTTGGTGTTCCACAGAGTTAGCTCCGGTTGTAGCTAGGTAGCTACCTCCATTAGCTTAGCTCCCACCTCCGCGTTAGCTTCAGGTTAGCTTGTAGCAAGTTCGACCGGTGTCGTCATTTGTTCCCAGCCTTACAGCACCACCCTCAGCTCCACCTCTCTTCCCTTTTCTGGAATTGTCTGGGCTTGACAGAACCTCACATTTCTCCTCAAAAACTTGTTCTTGGAGCCTATGGAAACCCATTGTTCATATGGTCAACATGGAGCTGAGAGCCATGTCACGGTTCACCGGGACCGTTGACAACAGCGGACTCAGATTTTAGAACGCAGTGGAAAAGCACAGCCCGATAGCCTCCGCTATCCTCGATCAGACATATAGACATTTAGCACTAGTTTTTTTTTACCCATACAACACCAATACAATTTATTTCAACCTATCTTAGACCAAGCAGTGCTATGGCAAACACAGAATTTTCCCCAATTCAACCAGCAAAATATTAGCAAGAAAAATGTGGTTGAGCGACTCAAAAGTGAAGCAGCGTCAACTAAAAGAGCTGTGGTGTTTCTGTGGTCTCCCTCAGAGATCCACAAGTGACCGGCATGTCCACAGCCTTGTGCGTCTGGGCTGCCCCGAGCCAGCGGCGTGCTCCGACAACTATTCTCAGGCAGGAGACAGGAGAAGCTGGGCATCTGCTCAAGTTTTTTATGCAACCCCACCAACGTGTCTGACCAAGCAGTTAAATGACACAGTATTTCCCCCATTCAACCAGCAAAATAAAGTACAGAAATATTATTTTACTTACTGATAAAAAGAAGCAAAAACTGCTTGGATGATCTGTTAGTGCAGCCAATAACAACAGCTTGCCCTCTTTGTCCAACTAATTCTGTGATTAACACACACACACACACACACACACACACACACACACACACACACACACACACACACACACACACACACACACACACACACACACACGACAAGCTAAAGTTCAGAGAGTCAAAATGGCAAACAACGTGAGGCCGAGCCCTTTCCCCGGAGCTAGCTCTGAAGTCACGCGCTCTGGTGCTCGTTAATTATTCTGAGTTTTAGGCATTAAACACTAAAACAGAAGTTAAAAAAACCACTCCCCTCAGAGTTGTCATGAGTGTAAACTACATCTGTTAAACCTACAGTGGGGTTGGTACCAGGCTGTAAACATGTTTATTTCTGCTGTGAAATTGGTATTTTTAACATGGGAGTCAATGAGGATTTGCTCACTTCTGGTGTCAGCCCCTAGTGGATGAGGGTGGAACTGCAATATTTGCCACTTCCTTGTTGGTTTCATGTTCATCCCAGAAATATGGAGGTCATGTTGGAAGGTAAACCTTCAGCCCAGTCTGAGGTCCTGAGCACTCTGGAGAAGGTTCTTGTCCAGGATATCCCTGTTCTTGGCCGCATTCGTCGTTCCCTTGATGGCAACCAGTCGTCCTGTCCTTGTAGGTAAAAAACACCTCCACAGCATGATGCTGCCACCGCTATGTTCCACTGTGGGGAATTTATTGGACAAGTGATGAGCAGTGCCTGTTTATCTCCACACTTAGAATTAAGGCCAAAAAGTTCTATCTTGGTCTCATCAGACCAGAGAACTTTATTTCTCACCATCTCGGGGTCCTTCAGGTGTCTTTTAGCAAACTCCATGCAGGCTTTCATATGTCTTGCACTGAGGAGAGGCTTCCGACGGGACACTCCACCATAAAGCTGGTGAAGGGCTGCAGTGATGGCTGACTTTCGACAACTTCCTCTCATCTCCTGACTGCATCTCTGGAGCTCATCCACAGTGATCTTTGGGTTCTTCTTTACCTCTCTCTCCAAGGCTCTTCTCCCTCGGTTGCTCAGCTTGGCCAGGCGGCCTGCTCTAGGAAGGGTTCTGGTCGTCCCAAACGTCTTCCATTCAAGGATTATGGAGGCCACTGTGCTCTGAGGAACCTTCAGTGCAGCAGAGATGTTTTTGTCAGATCTGTGCCCCGCCACAATTCTGTCTCTGAGCTCTTCAGCAGTTCCTTTGACCTCATGATTCTCCTTTGCTCTGACCTGCATTGTGAGCTGTAAGGTGTTATACAGACAGGTGTGCGGCTGTCCTAATCAAGTCCAGTCGGTATCATCAAACACAGCTGGACTCCAGTGAAGGTGTAGGACCATCTCAAGGATGATCAGAAGAAATGGAAAGCACCTGAGTTAAAAAGTGTCACAGCAAAGGGTCTGAATACTTAGGTCTATGTGATATTTCAGCCTTCCTTTAAAAATAAATCTGCAAAAATGTCTACATTTCTGTGTTTTTCTGTCAACATGGGTGCTGTGTGTACGTTGATGATTAAAAAATAAGTTGAATTGATTTTGGCAAACGGCTGCAATATAACAAGCAATGAAAAATGACAGGGTCTGAATACTTTCCCTACCCACTGCATTTATTATTATTCTGTCCAGTCAGACATTATTTGACCTTCTTTTACCAGAAGGATGACCACCATGTTTTTATGGCTGGGGACTAATCGTGGTTGGTGTAGGGGCAAATGATCATGGACGTAATTTTTTTGGGGGGGACATGTCCCCCCCATTTTTTCCAAAGTGAAGTTTTGACCCCTGCACTTTTTACCATCCAAAAACAACATTACGCTATATTAAATTGACACTGGTTGAGCTCTAGGACCAAGCAGAAAACAACCGTTTGTGTTGAAGCCTGTTTCCCATTAGAACATACTGTAAAGATCACCCCCCCCCCCTCCCCCCGTGTCCCCCCCACTTCTAAAGGGAAAATTACGTCCATGGAAATGATAGTAAGTACAGAGAGAAGCAAACTTGCGAGCTGTGTTAAATAAAAGTTGTTCTTTGACAATTACCTGATTAAAAATGATTAGACTGACCTTAAAAGAACAAAACACCCACAATGTATCGATAAAAATGCTGCTTGTCCTAAGAATGGGTCAAGTCCCCTAAGTAGCAACTGAAAGACTCTTTGCTGGAAACAAACGCTGTTTGCATGCTGTGATAACTGCAGAACAGAGTTGCATTAATGGGCTCGACACACGGGAGGCGACATCGCCTCTCCTCCATTCATTTTCAATGAGACGTGCGCGACAAAGCGATAATCGCGGGTCTCCCTCCTACCAAGCGAAACGCGAAAAACGTGCGTGTGAAAGTTTGCACTCGTGCACGTGTCGTGCACGTACGACCCAGCGACGCGATCCCAGAAAGTTGAAACATTTTCAACTTTTCATCGCTGTCGCTCGGACGAGGACCAATCAACGGAGGTTTCATTCACTGACCAATGAGCGGACAGGATGCTCCGTACACCTCCGAGCAAACATGGAGGAGAAGTTGATTATTATTATGCTTTACAGTAAAATCAGAAGTAAGATTTCACATAACTCTAGCAGCACCTTGTGAAACATCATATCTACCACTTTATTACCTCTGAACCGCTTAAATAACCTTAATTCCCTCCAAGCTGACACAGCCAAACAAAACAACGGAAGTTTCGATTTCGCCATGGAACAGAACGCGTAGACGGCGTTGCCGCTGGCCGCTGCCGCGGATCGCCTCCCGTGTGACAGGTAATAAAAGCGACAGTGACAAATTTCGCTGATCGCGGTCGTTTGTCGCCTCCCGTGTGTCGAGCCCATCAGGGTTGGCCACGCACGGTGCCAGGAGCTTTGCTGCATCTTTTGTAGCGTTGAACATGTCAGTGAAAAGCAATCAGGGCTGAAACGTTTGAGCAACACTGGGAGAAGTGCAGATTAAAACTCTTCAAGTCAGTAAACATAATACTGCAGTTTGTGAAGCAATGCATCAAGACTTTAAAGCTCAAAATAAAAAGTTTTTATGTTAAAAGGGCAGAAAAACGCACACACACACACACTCAGTTCATGTCACAAACACATTATTGTGAATTAAGTGTGCTTCCTTTGTCATTTCAGTAATAAAGAAAATCATGCATTAGAACATAACTTTGACAGAGGAATCGTAAAAAATGTTTTAGGCTTCAGCGTGTGTCCACACACACACACACACACACACACACACACACACACACACACACACACACACACACACACACACACACACACACGCACACACACACACACACCAAGCACCAGGAGCTTCTCAGACTTGCACTGGCCTCACAGTCACAGTTTCATGGGACAACAGGTCAGGTGATGGCTGGTGAGAGACTCTCAACCTAAACTGTTTTTCTTAAACACACATCTTTAACTGAAATAGCCAATTACAAATAAAAAGTCCTTCTCTTGTCTTATCAGGAGACCAAGTGCATGCAGTAAAACCCTCAGAGTCAATCCCAAAAATGCTAACTAAGTTGTGGAAAGCCCATGCATGGAGAGAGGACTCGGTGATGTTCCAGATAGTCCTGACCACATCGTCTGCCTTAAAACTGAGGAGAGTGTGTTCGTGACTGTGTGGTTTGAAAAGCAGTCTTAATTTTGTACAAGTGCCTCCCCACTATAAACTGTACAGGACAGGCCGTCCTGTGGACAAATCCCACAGGACAGTTCAGAGTCTCAGGTCTACCAAACACAACGATGCTCAGAGGGTGTGAATCTAATTTTGGTTGAGCGTACATTTCACAGTTGGCGAATACTGAAACACACCGCTCCACGGTCAACCATTTCCCCCAAAAGCCTAGTTTATACTTCTCCGTCAGCTCCATGAGGGAGACACGCGCGCACTGACGGAGACGTTTTGCTCTCTGACTTCTCCGTCTCCTGGGGAGTGTTGCTAAGCAACTCCCCGCCAGGACAGCAGAGGGCGTAGCGCTGTTCTGTGGCATCCTGTCATGTGTCCGGTTCAAGCCAGTGCATTTACTAGTGTGCTTATATCGTGTTTTTGCATTTGAGAGAATTTTTAAGACGGACAAATTTTTCTCTCATTCTCCTCCACCTCTTCGTGCGCTCTCCACGTTTCCCTTCACTCCCATCCACAAATAAAACACTTGCTGCACATCGTTCCACGCCTCCACTCACGGGTGAAGAAAACATTCATATGTTTGGAATTCTTCCACAAGGTATTCTTCAAGCTGCTCCATGTCTGCTGCTAGATATTGACATGTCTTTCTGTCTTTGAGAGTGCAATGGCGGTGCTGTTGACGACAGCGGCGTCCTGACCAATCACAAGCTTGCATTCTCGGTATTTATACCGTCTATCCTTGTGAGCCTGCTGGAGAGCCCTCGAAAGGACAGATAATGGCGTTGCATGCTTTCGTCCCGACGCAGATGGAGAAGTATAAATTAGGCTTAACGCCTCACCATCTTAGTCACTCTCACTCACTACTTGACAGAGTTGCAGCTGAAGATCATTAGGGCTCATTTGAGAGCCCTTACAAGGGTTTCTGTGGAGCGGTGTGCCTCAGAAGTGCCCTTGGAGGGCTGAAGTGTGTGTCTTGATAGCAAACTTATTGCCAGCTGATGAATTCCTGTGCTGAGACAGAGCAGAGGCGACGAGGAAGAACAGGCCGAGGTTCAGGTCAAGCACAGAAGAGAGGATCAGAGACGAAGAGGATGGAGGCTGCCTCGCTTCTGGAGCGATGTTAAAGGGTGGATGCAGCGCTGTGGGGAACCGGAGTGCTCGGTCATGCCAGGGATCACAGGGACAGCGTGTAGAGAGAGTCACGGTGAGCGTGTCAGAAGAAGGGGGGAGGTGAGGGTGCTGCTGCAGACAGAGGGGTGATGAGAGGTGGTCTGGGAGAGGATGAAAGGCCAAGAGGATGAGCTCTGCAGATTAAGTGAGAGTGATGTAGGCTGAGGCCTTCTCCTTCAGCTGTCTCAGACACAGATGACAGCTCCAGCTCCCTGTAAGACACACGCATCAGACCACAGATCAGCCGTTACTGTTGTACAGTTTACTGGTTTTATCCCTCATTTCACAGAGCATTAAGTGACACTAAATTAGAGCACCACACGCGGATGGATGCGGGGGATTTGACAAGTCATTTGGTTTACAATTTGGCAGAAGGTGCTGACGTTAACAGCTGATGTTAATGTTAACCTCTCTGTCTAAACGGGTTCAAGTAAATGTGGACCCAGCCTGCAAATGTTGGGTGAGCCTTAAGCAGCGTGGATGGTTTAGCATCCAGAATCCAGGCGAGGGTTAACCTGAAACCAGAAGCTGCCTCTGAACGTATTCCTGTAAATTAAAAGCATGGCTTGCGTGGGCAGAGCTCGACACCGTTACTGGCTGTGGAACACAAGTGGCTCTGCTACTGTATCTTCAGCCTAGTGACAATTTTGCCATGGAAACAGATTATCTTTCTGCTACTCGTTTCCATGGCAACACCATCAAACATCCCAAGGAGCCATCTTTTGTTTTAAATAGATGTTCCTGTTCCATTTCTGTGATCACAGAATTTAGACCGCCTCTCGGCCTGGTGCCTTCAGGTTAGGATGTTCCAGTTAGACCTGAGTGGGGTATTTATGCTCACAGAGAAGTATGACTGTTGTGACCACAGGCCTCACGGTCCTGAGTGTGAGACCCACACCTACAGCTTAATGCTGCACAAACCGAGACGGTGAAGCATCTGGGATGAGTAGTGTGACCAGACATGGATGCACTTGTTTTCAGTATTTAGCTGTACGTACCTTCTGGTGGTTCAGACATGGGAGGGCTCAGACAGTACATGTGGTAGCCTCTGTCACAATCATCACAGAACAACAGCTGGTCCTGAAACAACAGAACAAAGGCTGGTCATGCTTAAAGCAGATCTTCAGCACAGTAAAACGAAATATATAGACATGTGTGTGTGTGTGTGTGTGTGTGTGTGTGTGTGTGTGTGTGTGTGTGTGTGTGTGTGTGTGTGTAAATACAGGGTGGTCCATTTCTATGGATACACTGTAATAAAATAGGAATTGTTGGGGATATTAACATCCTGTTTGAGACAATAAGTTTAATGTGCCACATGACCCTCTTCCTATTGAAAAAACAAAAGTTAGATCCAAGATGGCTGACTTCAAAATGGCCACCATGGTCACCACCAATCTTGAAAAGTTTGCCCCCTCACTTATACTAATGTGCCACAAACAGGACGTTAATATCACCGACCATTCCCATTTCATTCAGGTGAAATGGCCCACCCTGTATATTTATAAATATCTGGCTATAGGACTATCTATCTATCTATCTATCTATCTATCTATCTATCTATCTATCTATCTATCTATCTATCTATCTATCTATCTATCTATCTATCTATCTATCTATCTATCTATCTATCTATCTATCTATCTATCTATCTATCTATCTATCTATCTATCTATCTATCTATCTATCTATCCATCTATCATCTATCTATCTATCTATCTATCTATCTATCTATCTATCTATCTATCTATCTATCTATCATCTATCTATCTATCTATCTATCTATCTATCTATCTATCTATCTATCTATCTATCTATCTATCTATCTATCTATCTATCTATCTATCTATCCATCTATCATCTATCTACCTACCTACCTACCTACCTACCTACCTACCTACCTATCTATCTATCTATCTATCTATCTATCTATCTATCTATCTATCTATCTATCTATCTATCTATCTATCTATCTATCTATCTATCTATCTATCTATCTATCTATCTATCTATCTATCTATCTATCTATCTATCTATCTATCTATCTATCTATCCATCCATCCATCCATCCATCCATCCATCCATCCATCCATCCATCCATCCATCCATCCATCCATCATCTATCTATCTATCTATCTATCTATCTATCTATCTATCTATCTATCTATCTATCTATCTATCTATCTATCTATCTATCTATCTATCTATCTATCATCTATCATCTATCATCTATCTATCTATCTATCTATCTATCTATCTATCTATCTATCTATCTATCTATCTATCTATCTATCTATCTATCTATCTATCTATCTATCATCTATCTATCTATCTATCTATCTATCTATCTATCTATCTATCTATCTATCTATCTATCTATCTATCTATCTATCTATCTATCTATCTATCTATATATATACATACATACATACACTCAACAAAAATATAAATGCAACAACATTGTTTCTGCTCTGATTTTTCATGAGATGGACTTAAAGATCTAAAATTCATTCCAGATACATAATATCACCATTTCTCTCAAACATTGTTCACAAATCAGTCTAAATGTGTGATAGTGAGCACTTCTGCTTTGCTGAGATAATCCATCCCACCTCACAGGTGTGCCACATCAAGATACTGATCCGACATCATGAGTAGTGCACAGGTGTACCTTATACTGCCCACAATAAAAGGCCACCCTGAAATGTGCAGTTTTGTCTCACAGCAAAATGCCACAGATGCCACAAGCATTGAGGGACTGTGCAATTAGCATGCTGACAGCAGGAATGTCAACCAGATCTGTTGCTCGTGCATTGACTGTTCATTTCTCCACCATAAGCCGTCTCCAAAAGCGTTTCAGAGAATAAGGCAGTACATCCAACCGGCCTCACAACCGCAGACGACGTGTAACCACACCAGCCCAGGACCTCCTCATCCAGCAGGTTCACCTCCAAGATCGTCTGAGACCAGCCACTCAGACAGCTGCTGAAACAATTGGTTTGCATTACCAATCTATGTCTGCACAAACTGTCAGAAACCGTCTCAGGGAAGCTCAACTGCATGCTCGTCGTCCTCATCAGGGTCTTGACCTGACTCCAGCTCGTCGCCGTAACAGACTTGAGTGGGCAAATGCTCACATTCTATGGCGTCTGGCATGTTGGAGAGGTGTTCTCTTCACGGATGAATCTCGGTTTACATTGTTCAGGGCAGATGGCAGACAGCGTGTGTGGCGCCGTGTGGGTGAGCGCTTTGCTGATGTCAATGTTGTGGATTGAGTGGCCCATGGTGGTGGTGGGGTTATGGTATGGGCAGGCATCTATTATGGATGAAGATTGGTGGCATTTTGAATGCACAGAGATACCGTGATGAGATCCTGAGGCCCATTGTTGTGCCGTACATCCATGGATATCACCTCATGCTTCAGCAAGATAATGCACGGCCCCATGTTGCAAGGATCTGTACACAATTCTTGGAAGCTGAAAAGGTCCCAGTTAAGCATGGCCAGCATACTCACCGGACATGTCACCCATTGAGCATGTTTGGGATGTGCTTGACCGGCGTATACGACAGCGTGTACCAGTTCCCACTAATATCCAACAACTTCGCACAGCCATTGAGGAGTGGACCAACATTCTATGGGCCACAAATGACAATCTGATAAACTCTATGCGAATAAGATGTGTTGCACTGCATGAGGCAAATGGTGGTCACACCAGATACTGTCCGGTTCTGAGTCCCCAGACGCCCCAAAAAGCAAAAAAACTGCACATTCCAGGGTGGCCTTTTATTGTGGGCAGTATAAGGTACACCTGTGCACTACTCATGATGTCGGATCAGCATCTTGATGTGGCACACCTGTGAGGTGGGATGGATTATCTCAGCAAAGCACAGGTGCTCACTATCACACATTTAGACTGATTTGTGAACAATGTTTGAGATAAATGGCAATATTGTGTATCTGGAATGAATTTTAGATCTTTAAGTCCATCTCATGGAAAATCGGAGCAGAAACAAAGGTGTTGCGTTTATATTTTTGTTGAAAGTGTGTGTGTGTGTATATATATATATATATATATATATATATATATATATATATATATATAGTTATGTAACCAGGGGAAGGAAGTGTGTGATGGTGGATTATTCCTTCGTAACAAATCTTTCTGCTTGGAAACCTGTCTTGTCCCTTAAAGCTGCTTCCTGGAGTTTTTCCTTTCAGAAACGATGTATGATGACATGAGAATATACTCATAAAACAGTGTGTTTTAGTGCTGTTTGTTGGCTACATCTTAAAAAAACAGAGCAAAAATTTGGCATTTGTAGGTTGAGCCTCAAAGCAGTGTGTGTGTTTCTCTGTGTAGGTGTGTGTACATGTTTCTGTGTGTGTGTGTGTGTGTGTGTGTGTGTGTGTGTGTGCGTGTGTGCGCGCGCATGCGTGTGTGACTGTTTGTCTGTGTGCGTGCGCGTGTGTGTGTGCGTACACGTGTGTGTGTGTTTGTGTGTCAATGTGGGTGTGTGTGTGTGTGTATGTGTTTGTGTGTCTATGTGGGTGTGTGTGTGTGTATGTGTTTGTGTGTCTATGTGTCTGTGTGTGTGTTTGTGTGTCTATGTGTGTGTGTGTGTGTGTGTGTGTCTATGTGGGTGTGTGTGTGTGTATGTGTTTGTGTGTCTATGTGTCTGTGTGTGTGTTTGTGTGTCTATGTGTGTGTGTGTGTGTGTGTGTGTGTGCTTGCATGAATGCGCGCCCGTGTGTGTGTGCACGTGCGTGACTGTGTGCGTGCGAGTGTGACCGTGTGTGTGTGTGTGCCTGTGTGTGTGTGTGTGTGTGCGTGCACGCGTGTGTGTGCGCGCATGCATGTGTGACTGTGTGC